CCACCACCAGAAAAAGACCTCGACACCACCAACACGATCCCCCAACAACCACCACCAACACCCAATGAAAATGACCACAACCACCGCCGCCTACACCAACCACCGCCCACCATCAAGCAGATCTGACCAGCAAGCAGACCATGGTATATCACTACCACACAACCAACAAATCCACCATTGCCACGACACCGCACACAACACCGCCATCAAAAACACCACTGCACCTCCACCTTCACTGCACCATACCTCCACCGTGCACAACAACTTACACCACCATCACCACCTCCACCTCCACCGTGCACAACCACTCACCGCGCCACCAACCAGATCTCAACCCACAAACCCACCACACCACATTTGCACCACAACACAACCAGCATCAACACCACCACCACACCCGACGCAAACACCACCACCACAAGACTGCAAATACAACCAACAATAATCTCTCCCAAAAATTTCGGCGCCACCAGATTGAACGTCACAGTGCACCAGATCTCGCAATGTCTCTTCGATCGACTGCACATCGACCGAAATGATCGAGTCATTACCGTCTCAAGCGGTGACCGATTAATTGAGTATAGTTGGATTGTCAACGGTGAGCGGTGGTCTTCGAAAGTGGGGAAGTCGTGAACGCTGCTGGCGAGAGGTGGCGCAACGCCGATTTGGACAGAGAAAGGGGCGAGAGAGAGAGAGGGAGGGTAGTGAGAGAAAACGAATGAAAATGAATTAGGGTTGTGAATTATTAGTATTATAATATTATTTAAATATTCAATTGATACCTGATTTTTGAATATACAAACTTTGGACCTGATTTTTAAAAAGTTATCTTTAAACACCTGAAATTTTATAATTTCCCAAAGTTTATTGTCAATGTAAAATGAAAGAGATCTTGCTTTTACCTTACATCGAACAATTCATGTTACAAATTTTTATAAATCCTGGATGAAAATATGTTTCTTTACAAATATGCAACCTTTTGCTATATTACAACAATATTTCACAAATTTTCAAATTCAAGAAGCTAGAGCTTCTGCGATCTCTCTCTCCTACACTAGCAGCATGCATTCATGCTACAAAATCATGCAAAAGACTGGAGGTGGCAAAATGATGTTGCCCGCTTTCCAACCGTGTGTGGGTCCCGGAAGACGAAGTCTCCCCATTGTTTACATTATTGCCTCTAATAGTGAAATAACTATGTTGAGTGTCATCAGACATTGGTAAACTACTGGCCTTGAAATGCTGCAATCCTAATGTAAGTGATACCTCATTTCCACTTTCAAATCTTCCCATTTCTGACATATGGTATGCAGCAGCTTCCGCTTCCGTAAATCTATTAGTTCCACAATTTGAATGCAATATTGTATCTGGAAAAAGACTAGTGTCATCCATGTAAGTCCTCAGATCTCGAGTTGTTTTCTCTATCCTGTATTCGTTCTGAGAAGTCGTATTCTGAAAAATCTGATTGGTTTCCGACTCTACCATTTCTAAGTCAGGGAGATTCCTGGGGCTACAGCATTCAGTTCCTGGGGATGTTGCATTTTGTTGCAAATCTTCTTCTTTTGCATCACTTTTCATAGCTTTTGGTGCATTCTCATATGAAGAAATAGAGTCCATTTCTGCATCACCAATCTCTTCTTTGTACATCTCTTCAACCATGGGCTTCCACAGCCTAACTCTTGCATTTATGAACCAGTTTGAGACCTGATGCCAAAGCATACATAAATCAATAAAGTGCAGAAGTATCAACTTATCGTGTTAATTCACCTTGTCTTATAAAAGCTAAAACAATGCAAATTGTTTCACCTGACTCCTTGTTAAACCAGTCTGCCTGGCTAGCATGATCTTGTCCGAATCTTTTGGGTAGCTGCAAAAGATAATAATAATCAATCAGATGATAGAAAATATCCATACAATCTGATTGCATGATTGGAAAGTATTAAGACTCGAGGTCCATCATAAAAGGTCAACTTATTAAGAGGAATAGCCCAAACCCTCATAACTTGGTCTGTGTTTTCATCTTTATTCGGTGTTAGATTTATCCTTTAAATAAAAATGAAAACATAGATTAATTTATAAGGGTTTTGGCTACTCATTTTCATATGGTTAACTTTTTAAGATGGAATCCTAAATCTTAATATGGTATATGAACTCCTTAAGTTCCAACGAGTAATTTGATCCGACCGAGACTTGGGAAAAAAAAACGAGCACGAGATTGGTCAATTCAAAAAAGCCACCATCTTGTGGGGGCATATTAAGAGATAGAATCTCACATCGAATAAAGATGAAAACATATACAATTTATAAGTGATTTGACTACTTCTCTTGTAAAGATTGACCTTTAACAAACGCATTAAACAAACGTGAGTATGGTTTCTGACAATATACAGATATAGAATGCCTAATTTATCGTCAGATAATTTTTTTTATATGATTAGGCACGACAGATGGAACAAGAGGGAAAAAAAGTTATTTAACTTACGGATGAAGGAAGTGCTCGAAGAGCCAAGCACGCAGAATAGAAACCGAGTTTTCGGGCAGCCCCCTTTGTGGCCGCCAGCCATGTTGCATCATACCAAGTTGCTGAATGGCTCTCTGTTGTCTTAGTTTCTGATCCACATAACGGAGTCGAGTTAATCCAATCCCTTTACCATTTGATAAAGAATCTTGCTCCCCGAGGCTTTTCTGTGCAGCCTGAATCTGGGCATTTATGGCGTCTCGCAAGCAACGAAAATGGCGTGAAATTGTGTAGAGGGCGAGGGATGTGTATGGTTTGGCTGCACCAGAGCCTGCTATTATGTCAAAAGAAGACATCACTATTTGCATTTGATGGTAATACTGTCTGTACCTTCTGTCAACCTGTTATGAAAACAAGGTACCATGACCGTTTTAGGCAAATATAAAAGAACCAAGAAGGAAAGTATTCATGTAGTTACGGGCTTACCGCACTTGGCTATGTTCATGGACAGCGAAGAGATGATAAATCTGCTAAATAAAAAACGGTAGCATAAAAACTAGAACATGCATATTTGGAGGGGAAAGACGTAAAGCAAGCTAGGCCCGTTCTTCCTCTTCGGCCTTTTTCCCCTGTGGAACACTCAGGTGAATCTAGTACTTATGGTCTAACTCCCTCTTTTAACATGTTCTACCAAAATCATGTCCTTCTATGATTGAGTTTATAGACCAAGATAGAACAAGAAAAATGCATAAGGATAATGCTAAGTCAAGATGCCTCCATATTCCGCTCAAAATTGACACCAAGAAGAGAACACGATTATAGTCAACTAGAAAAAGCACAAATAGTTGTCACGTCTCTCGCATACAATAAGAAAGACATCCATAATAAGCAGTTCTAAAATAAGTTAATTTGTAATAATAAGTAGATGTCATAAGAAAACCATATATCTTTCTTACCTCATCCAACATTGACAAGAGCTTGCTGATTTTATCTTGCAAATCTTGCTTCTCAGCTGCTGAAACCTCACTCTGGGAATTTTCTGAATTTCCATTTCCAGTTTCACCATCACTTTCTTTAGAGTTTCTCGTTAAATCCTTTTTCGAATTTTGCTTATTTACACCTTTTTTGACATGAACAATTTCATCAAGCAATTCTTGAACTACTTTCAAGTACTTTGTATTAAGAACAGATCTAGACATCCCATCTGAACTACTTCCTGGAATAATCATATTATCTTCATTAGAATTCAAGAAAATGGGATTATGATTCTGATATTGGAACGAGGGAATCTGCAGTCCTGATGGTACATTTGTACTGAAACTAAGGGATAATCCTGAAGATCCATCCACTGAGTTCATTAGTACAGTTTGATTTCGACCTTCGTCTTTCCAAGCCTCGAAATCATGCTGCGCAATTCTCGACTCATCAAGATTCGACGAAAATTCTCTGTTTGGATTTGGATATGACTCTGAGGAGGATGAGAAATTCATGTACATTGTCATTTGTCCTGGAAGTTGTGTTTCTGAATAAGAATTGGGTAAAGAGTCTCTTGAATAGAGGATAGTGGCAGTATCTCTCTGATTGTTTGAACTGGGATAATTTGTTGCCATTTTTTTCTGTTTATGAAACCTTCGCTTCTGCAGATCAATTTGAGTTGAGAAAATAAATCTCTGTGTACACCTTGGACAATCCTGCCAATTTCGAGGAAAAATCATCAAACACAGAACAAGATAGTAGTAACAATACAATTGGAAAAATTTTATATCTCATCGAGTATAATTCATCAATCGATGATCTTAATGTTCTATATGCATGAACATGGTTATAAAAAATAAAAAAAAAAGCCTCTCTGGTAGCTTCAATGATTGACATGTCCAAATTCTCAATATCCAATGCTACCAAATTAATGATCAAGAAAGTGATGAACATTTCACCACCCGAAAACGCACGAACAACCAACAACGGCAGGAATCCGTCGGTGAAAGGTTTTATCGACGGATAAAAAGTGTCAAAAATAAATTCTGATTTAACAAAAACCAGAATTATATCCAGAAACAAACACAATATGAATAAAATAATCAGCATATAATTAAATTCTTGTTAAAACATCATCTAAACTAATGATAACACAAAGAAAAAAGGTCAAAAAAAAAATGCAAACCAGAAAGAGTTGTCTCTGTTGTGAAGACCACGAAAGCAATTCTTCCTTGAACGCAGTTGTGTCAATCCCCACACGCCAAAACTTTACCTGTCACGCACTGATCAAGAAAGAAGATAAAGAACTCAAAAACCCAAAAGAGAAAATAAACTTTTTTTTTCAGTTCTCTCCCTTTTCTCTTTCACACACATACACTCAGACCAAGAAAAGAGAGAAAGAAGTAAATTTCAAAAACCCAAAAGAGAAAATAGACTTTTTTCCTGTCTTGTTCACTGGATCAAAGTTCAAAAGTTCAAAAGTACAAGAAAATCATGCATCACTTTAACTCGTACTCCTTTTTCCTTATTTTCAAATATCTATTCACACGTGATACTCATACACCCAATAAGCATAGTCTCTCTCTTTCTTGCTTCCACTCTCTCTCTATGATATCTTCATGAAAGCTCCAAAAAAGCCTCTCTTTTTTTCTTTTGAAACCCAAAAAAGTTGCACAAACTAAATGGTCGCTTTCTCTTTGTATATCCTTTTCTGTTTGCTCTTAGAATATGGGGTTTGATATGAGAATCTCTATCTTTGGTTGTTGATATTGAATTATTCTTGTTGGTTAATTCTTTGCTGTTGATAATGTTTGGTTATGGAGTGCCACTCTCTAACAACCAGTTGGTAGACCTAAACCTCCGTTAAACCCAACCCACACCACCCCCCTCAAATAATTTTTAGTATTGTATTAATGGGACCCACTATTTAATTGGGACGAAAATATTATTAAATAATACACCTATCGATTAAACAGTCATAGTGTATTTGATTGACATGAAAAATATATTCTAAAAAAGAAAATATTTTCCTTATTTTGAGGAAAATAAAAATCTACTCCCTCAAAAGAAAATTTTTTCCTTTAAAAAAAAAAAATTGGGTATATTTTTAAAAATTGAAAAATATTTTTCATACAAAATAGCAATCAAATATTTAAAAAAGAATTTAGTGAAAAACTGACATTTTTCATGAAAAGTAAATGCAATCAAACGCACCCTTATAGAAAGTATTGACTTCCATACTTTGAAAGTACTGAAAAATTTCTCCCTTCTCTACAGAAAATGATTGATGTGTTTAGTTCACGATCAATCCCCTATGAATCAATGTGTTGTGTTATTGATACTTAGGGTGTGTCTGGTTCCAATTAAAATTATAATTCCAGTCGTTGCCAACTAAAAAAGTATCCATTACAATCAACATGTGGGGACCACATTAGAGAGGAGAAGTCATATATGGCTGCTACTCTGCTAGGCAACGGCCAAAAAAAGGATTTTAATTGGTTTGAGAATTTCTCCCAAACAGACACTTACCTAATTAGTATTAATAAATACATATACATATACATATACATACACCTCTTTCTCCTTTTTTAATTGCTTTTATTTATTTGTATAAATGCGATATTTTAATGTATTAGGTGAAAAAAATTATTTATTACAAGTATGCACAATTGCACAAGTCATTACAAGGATGGACCTTTAAAAATTCTTCATTTACCGCAATTATTTTATCAAATTAATTTTATTGCAAGGGACGTCCTTCTGAAAACAATAAAATGCGCTGCCCAATAATTTGCTTTCAATAATTCAGGCTATACAAAATAGCTTTAAACATCGATTCAAGTAACTTGAAAATGCCTCATCGATATGCCCTTTGTTCATATTGACTCGATTTGATTTTCAATTCACACATTGAAAGAGGGAAAAATAACAAATCTAGGGGGCACAGAATCAATTAATGAAATTACAGGGACTGAAATTGTAAACGACATCTTGTCGGAGAGGGCCACAGCCTCAGGGATAATGGCAGTGACAGAGCATGTGGATTCGGAAAAGCAGAGACTTGATTGGTCACTTGCCAACACGTAATCATTTGGTTTTTTATTTTATCTAAAATAAAAACTTAGACTAAAAAACAATTAAGAAAATCAATGTATGAAATGAAAATCATATTATATTTTTAACCTTAGGGTCCGTTTGATTCAAAAATAAAATTTGGGTGAAAAGAAAATGAATTGAAAAGAATTGAATTGTCTAAAAATTATTTTCCTGAGAATTGTCAATTAATTGTGTTTGATTGATATAATTTTTTACTTGAAAAATATTGAAATTTTCTATCTTTTGGTATTCGTTTGATTTTGTTTTTATGAAAATTGTCAATCAAAAGGGATATAATTTCTTACAATTGGGGATATAATTTGTTTGGATTGTCCAAAAAAATCGAAAATTTTTTGGCGTTTATTTGACTTTGTTGTACATGAAAATTGTCAATTAAAGAAATAATTTTATTTTTTTACAATTAGAAATATAATTTGTTTCTATTACCCAAAAAAAATAAATTCAATTCCCCACTAAAGGCGGAAATTTCAGGTGGCAATTTTAATTCAACTAAAACCAAGAAAACTAGCAAAGGCGGAAAACCAATTCTATGGAAAAAAAGTATCATCAAACATGGTAAAAGTAGGAAATGAAATTTCAATTCCAACTTTCAAGGAAATAAGGTCCTATCAAACAGACCCTTATATAAATTTACCTAAATATATATAGTGGAATGAATATATAACAATGATGGATGTAAATAGCGATTTTCAATAAAAAAAACGTGTGCTAAGAGCAAAGATTTTTGAAATTTTTGAACATGGAGAGGAGTCTCCGTTATTATTGTAAAACTCAACGATATAATTTGCTCTAAATTTTATTATACGTTTTCTTATAGAAATTTGCATGTCCGAACTTTTGGAAAATGCAATACATTAATCATCAACTTTATTTTAGCAAAATTCGTCTTCAACCTTCCAATTATGTATCAAAACTCTTCGTTCCTTTCATTTTTCCATTAAATGATGAATTTGTCAATTTTTTAAATAAACAAAAATAAAATAGATAAAAAAATAAGCAAAAATGATAAAGTGAGTCCAATAACTTTTCAAAAAGTATAAATAAATTCCATTTGAGACAATTAAATACATATATACATACAAAAAAAAAAGAAATTAAAAATAAAAATAAACATTTCATTCTCCCTAGTCAAGTTCACCCATCCGTCCCAATTCAAACCCAACCTAACACATCTGCGGCCAAACACCATCTCCACAAAAGCAATCATGATACCACCACCACCTTAGGAAATTTGTTTAGCTTGTTTGACAACCACTTTGGTAAGCATAAAAAAAAAAAAAAAAATCGAACAATGACTTTCTGGAGAATATGTGGTTAAAAAGTAAGATTTTTTTTTTATATACATGTAAAATATTTTATTACGTGAACGTGTGGTTGAAAACGATTCTGTAGCAAACTATAAAATGAATTAATAAGTGTCAAATAAGCACTTATTTATTGTTATATTAAATTTTTTAGTACAAAAAAATGACTTCATATTTTTTGTCATCGATTGGTGGGTCTCAAGCACCAAATCGTCAAAGAAAATCAATTAGGTTGTTTGTGAAATGCAAACTCCCACGCAATTAGTAGTGAGAAATCTATTTCTCCACCGACAATTAATAATTTATCAATAATTTAATGACTGTAACAAAGTCTTAAGCAACGTCATGATGTAACGTCCATTTACTGTATTCCAAAATCAAACCTTATTCTATATATAAATCTCAGGCCGGCAAGTAGAAATGTTCAATTCATGGATAAGGATTATAATCAATTTCTTAATAAATTTAATAAAAATTGATGAAATGTGTAATTGAAAAGTTTGAAATCATATTAAGGCCCAGTTCGGGAGGGCTTAAAATTCAATTAAAATTGAAAATATGATCGTTACTGGGTCCCACCCGTCTAATAAAAGTCAACAATAACGACTATATTTTCAATTTTAATCCCTCCCAAACAAGCTCTAAATATGGGGTTAAAATTAATTATTAACTTTGATTTAAATTAAAATCGGGATTTTAATACGTAACAAACAGGGTCTAATATATAACTACATGTACAACATTGGTCGACAACATTCTATTTGACATTATCGTATCCATCTATTTTAAAAACCATTCTCTACATCACGTGCCAAGATTTTGACAAAATATGGTTGTCAACCATCGTTGTCAACAAATGTTATACACTTAGCTTTATTCTATATAATTGGGAAAGAAATTGCATTATTTATCCATATCTATTTTCACAATAACAAGTTGGTCTTATCCAAGTTATATTTTTCTCTCTCTTTCTTTTTAACCATACATTTGTCAATAAAATAATATTACACGTAAATTCAAAACTTTTTATTTAATTTTAACCATACATTTCCATCAAATCACTATTACAAAGTGCATTTTGACAAAAGAATGGACTCGAGTGGGTCCTAAATGTTTTAAAGGATTAGCTTTGCAAGATTAGTATATAAGTTGTCTAAACTCTTCTAAATCGTGTTGACTTTTATGAAGTCTGGTTTTGCCTTCTAAAATTAGATTGGTGTCCAAAATTATTGAGCGGGGGCATGGGTGCATGAGGCGCTTTCATTATTGAAGATTAAGCCCCTGTTTGGCCCCTCATTATTGTGCACTTTTTTTGGTTGAAAATTTTTGGAATAGTGATTGATGAGAGAATGTGTGGTGGAAAAGTTTTAGATTTGTATGTAATATTATTTTATTTGATGAATGTGTAGTTGTAATGAAGAGAGAGCAATATTTAATGTAATGTAATATAATTTAATGGGAGGCAAAGCAGGGGCTAAATTGCAACAATTAATAAAGGTTAATGACTAATTTGTTACTAGGACTATAGAATGGGGATCAACGGTGCAATTTTCTATTATAATTATAATATTGGAGGTTGTATTAATTGTTTTTCTCAAACTTGTTCAAAATATAAAGTAAAAAAGTTCCAAAAATTTCCGTTGCCGGGACTTGAACCCGGGTCTCTCGGGTGAGAGCCGAGTATCCTAACCAACTAGACTACAACGGACTTTGCTTAGCCAACTTCATGTTTATCTTAAGATTCGAATCTTCATGTCGGCTGAAAATTTTCCACGAACGAGCAATTTCCCCAATCGAATACATAATAAAATATATATTTACACGTTCCTTCTTGCTCTCAATTCTCTCTCCCACTCCTTCCCGAGTCCATTGTTAATTTGATCGAGAAGACAATTTAGCTCACATGAGTACTAAATATTACGAGAAAACAAGTGCATACAACCGTGTTGCGACGCAGCCTTCCAATGAAAGGATTAGATTGGAGGAGTCAGTCAATTTAGATTACAAACAAAAGAGACATTTTCACTATCCATTTATGAGTTTGTGACAACAACTTGTAGATCTCGCATCACTCGTAAA